TCCTCAACTTCAGTTTGATGGCTTGTAATTAATCTCAGCCAGGTTTAGTAATCCCCTTCCCCCTACCAAACTGGGTTTAGAAATAGACAGGTGACCTAATTCTGTACAATGAGATTTATGGGGCAATATGCTGAGTGAATTCTGGGAAAGGTCACTTCTCTTTAAAAAAGAAAAAAAATAAAGGCAAAGGAAAAAATGGTATGGTGACTCTTTGAACCACTACATTGGGAATTTTTTAATTGACTTCATGTTATGTAAATAGATATTACCATTTATTTTATAATTCAATAACTGATTAAATATAAATATACATCTTTAAAGGAGGGGACAATGTTGGTTTAATGATTTTAAAACTGTAAATAGAGAATATATTTGGAAACAACAGAAAATCGAACTATCAGTTTTTGTTGTTATTTTAACAAATGGGGATTTTTTTGTCTCAGGCGTCAAGAAGTTTAGAGGTAGCTGTTTTAATGATGTTTCAGAGACCCAGACTCTTCTTTCCTGCTTCTCCATCCTTAGCTTTCATTCTCATGCTAGTTACTTCATGGTTGCAGGATGGCTGCTGTATCTGCAGGCAGGAGGGAGGGGAAAGGCTAAGGAACAAAGGGGCACAGCAGGTGAGCCCGCCAACTTTTCTCAGGAAAATAAAAGCATTCCTGGAGTCCCCACCCTGAAATCTAGGATACTTTGTTTTGTTGGCTGCCGTTTGAAATGGTGTCTATTTAATCTGTCTTCCCAAATTTAGCTTCAACTGTGTTAATTCTGTAACATTTCTACTTTTTTGTTTATGTTTATAAAGTTAGTATGTTAGATTGACTAGATTAGACATTTAGTTTTCTTTTTCTAAAATTAGGTCTTTTGCATATGTAAATTTGTGAAAAATTCATGCAAATTAATATTTTTCATTTGAACTAGGCATTGTGGTAATTTTTAAATGAGTTTTATAATTCTTGTGTAAAGTTTTTCTGTCTTAGGAAGAACAGAAGACCTATTAAACATTTTAACTGAACTCCATTGTGAGAATTATAATATAGACTACTTTTTTTCAGCATCTCTTTTGAGAAAGGAGATTCACAGTCTGTTAAGAGAAAAAAATGAGCAGTGTTTAAATTTAATATCTGGTACTGCATTCAGGTTTTATCTACACAGACTTAGCTGTTCTTTAATTGTATACTAACTCTGTTTCCTTATATCTCGCTCAAGCTCCCACCTCTATCCTGTTCACAGATATGTTTATTCTCAATTATTGAGATAAATCATTGAAGTAAAAATTAAAAGGATAATTTAAGAATGAAAGAAAGTGTGGTTTCAGATTATCTCCTGGAGGTGGAGATGCCTCCAGTAGGTAGGGTGGAGCCTTTGGTAGGAGTTCAGGGGGAGTAGAGTGGGGCGGTGGTGGTGGTGGTGGGGCCTCCTAATAATGGAGATTAATCCATCTTTGCTGATAGTAGTGATTAGACCTTTATTCACAGTGTGTCTCATCTCAGAATTCTGAATGTTGGATAGATGTGGAAAAATAGTTTCTGACAATGCTAAGGTTAGTGCTAGTATAATTTCATCTCAGTAACTGAAGAAAACAAGAAGCTTTTTATGTTTGTTTCACCTACTATATTTTTACCAACTGTGGGTACAGAAACCACAGATCACAAGGGAATAGATGAAATATGATTGCATCGGGATTTTGAAAGGAAGAACAAATAAATAAGCTATTCCACTAATATTTATTGTTTTCCTATTTTTACGGCATGTAACAGGTTCTCTCAGTACATAACTTTTATTTTTCCTAATCTTATTATGCAGGAGGAGAGAAGTGGGAAACCAGATTATTTTATTTCTGCATCTGAGCTAGGAAAGAAGAAAAATCATAGTGACTCTAATAGTTACATTGCCCCAAATATTTTAATCCAATTTTTTAAAAGTTATGTGCAATTATTGTGGACTGTACCGCATGTTGAGGCTAATTGGAAACAGTGACCAGATTCTTAATCATTGTCAGGAAACTGCATTCAGAGAATGAGAAGAACACCCCCACTGGATGAACTGCAGCCACCACCATATCAGGATGACAGTGGCTCTCCCCACCTCTCATGTACACCCTCAGAAATTGGGGACAGTAAATGTGAATTTTCCCACTGCAGCAACAGCCCGAGATGCTCATATAACAAGTGCCCAAGTGAAGGCAGCACAGGTCATGAAATAGAAAGTTTTCATAATAAAGGATACGAAGAAGACGTTCCAAGTGACAGCACCGCAGTCCTGAGCCCAGAGGTAAGTAAAAGCGCGCAGGTTTTTTTAAATGAACTTTATTCTGAGGGTAATAATCCTGTGCTTCTCCTCTTAGCAAGAAGGTTTTGTCACTGTCTTGGCCTTTCTGGATTATGGCCCCAGTTTCTGTCCTTGACCTAATCTTTATCCAGCAGGCTACCCAGGGCTGTCCCAAGCATTCTGCTGCTCCCCCCGAAGGAAGATAGATAGCTAATAATGGGAGCAAAACGCAAGATACCGAAAAGTTGCCTCCCCTCAAGTTTCAGCCTCAAGATTCAAGATAGGGTTTTTGTGGGTTTTCTTCTTTAACATTTCGTATGAAACATCTGCAGTTCTTCACCTGTTTCTTTCATCTGGCCACAGCCATATTTACCTGTTCCTATTTATGTTTAAAATTATTTTGGGTATTTTTACTATTCGGAGGTTGCCCATTCATATTTTACAAGTCTTTCAAAATAATGTCTTTGCATTTTCATATCAGGGAATATGGAAAAGATAAGAGATGCTCAGCCTTACCAGTGAAATTTGAATTCATAGCATCATGAAACCAGAGTGGCTGGTTGGTTGTATGTTAAGTTACTTCTGTTTGGGGAGCAAAAATGTGAAAAAGACAACAAAAACAGGTGTACATTTTTGAAGTCTTCCCATGTTTAAAAAGGATGTTCTACTCTTTCTGTGATGAAATCCAGAGATTTTCTTGAGGTATTTACTTTTAGAATCTACTTTCTTTCAGATCGCAAGTTTTTACAACTTTTGCCCCAGACAAGATTTTGTAATACTGACGTGTGTCATTGTTCTTACTAGGTGAATTTTCATCTGCTGCCAAAATTAAATAGTGGAAATAGAGCTATGAATAGAATTAACTGAATTTTAAATTTTTCTTACATAATTTCTAAAGACACTTTTTATCTGTTACTACTTTTCTACTATTTCTAGTATTAGATAATACTAACTTAGAAGAAAATTCTACATTGGTACTTTAGAAGTTTAATACCTTCTAATTATGTCAAGGTTAGAAACTGGTACCATAAGCGAGTAGTATTTCATCATTTCCCACACAGAATATTTCTCTATGTTCTATACCTGAACAAATTTGAGGCAGCTATTTTGCAGGTTTGCAAACTATATAGATAGCCAACAAGTTAATAATGAAGCCTGGATTATGGAATTAACAGTAATAGCTACCCCCCAGTTGTGCCAGGAATTTTGCTATAAACTTCACATAGCTAATTTCATACAAACTCATCTTATGGAAGTTATATCTGTTTTGCAAATGAAAATATTTAGACTCAGTTAAGCAATTGCCCAAATATGAACAGCTCTTAAATGATGGATCTATAATTCAAACCCAGATCTGCCTGACTTCAAAAACAGTGCTCTTAACAACTATATTATATTGCCTTTCCTGATACAAATCTTTGGATGGAAAACGACTTTGATGTATTGGTACCTTCCACATGCACCACTTCCAGGCAAGCTATCCTAGAGGACTCCACAGACCAAATTAAGATGCTCAAATTACAATAGTGTGCTGGGGGGAGGGGTGGGTTGCATATATGTGGGTGTGTACACGGATGTTTTAATCTACTTCAAGTATAAAGTGAGGAGTAAGATGGGGTAGGCTAATACATTTAGGATAGGATGCCAGGTACAAGTGGAGGACCACACTAAGTGAATCCTGGTTTATGTTATGTCTGTATGTTATGTATGTCTCTGCTCCATCACCCCTGCATGGTGTGGTAACAAGGACATGAACTGAGGTTTGAACAAGGGTGCCAATGGCCAAAAACATTTGCCTCTTTTATGGGAGGGATGCAGGGACAATGTAATTTGCCAGTTAGCCTGTTAAATGGACATTTCTTAAATGGAATACATGGGTAACAGAAATACTAGCTCAGAGGTGACATGATCATGGCTTGGACTTTCCATCATTTTCTACAGGTAATACTCATTTGTTCTATCATGTTTTCTATTTATTCTATCTTTAGCATATCTTCTAAGTTATTAACTTAGTATCTACCACATAGTTACCACATCTGCAGAATTCTGCCTATGTCTCCCAAGCTACTTCCTTACTCATGATCTATAGTGAGCACATAGAAACACAGCCTGTGAGTGTGGCGGCCAGCTTGCTCTCTGTGTTCAATTTCTTATGAGTCTCTTCTATACTGTTTACTTTTGCATCTTCAATAGCAGAATTGAACATATCCAAACAATACAGCAAATGCACATTACATAAATATGTAGATGTCAATGGCCTGTGTTCGTGTAAAATTTACTCTTGTGTTTTTCAAGTTTATTTTGCTTCCTACTATCCATCTAATAGATAGTATTGATCAAATCGAAAACCCTTACCTTCCTCTTAGCTTAATCCAGGATGTAGCTATCTTAGAGGCTCTCCACATACACAGCTGAACTGGGGGAGGAGTGAGGGTTCAGAAGAGCTCCCTGGCGAGGAGTTCAAAAACTGCACTGAGAACCTGTTGCTAGATTATTAAACACTCTGATTCAGACCTTGAAAGGAAGGATTATTTTCTAGTTGCCTATATGCAGAATACAAATAATCATTTTTACTCTGTAAGGGTCCCACCGTTTGAACCATCAGTTTTATGAGAATTGTTGAATGCCCAGGAAAAAAAAAAAAAGGCACCAAGAAAAACAAAAATTCGGAAATAGCTATCTAGTCCCTATAATACAATGTTTTATTGCCTTGAAAATCTTAGCTATCATGACAGTATTTTAGATGTTTAATTGAAAAAAGAAAGCCACGTAGTAATCATCTTCACCAATTATGAAGGGGCGTGCATTAAAACATTTTGCTTTAAGCTATAATTTTTTTATAGAGTAAGAATGCATTTATGTAACCTGATTTAACTATGTCCCATAAGAACTGAATTCTTCAGAGAGTTTGCTCCCTCTCCCCAAGTGTTGTTCTTCATTTGTCATCTTTTTTTCCATACGTGATACCAAGTGGGTCATGGTAATAGACTTGTAAGATTTGTGAAGTCAAAGACTTACACATTTTGGTTCGGTACTACATCCCCCCACCTAAAGTATGGCCTGGCACATAATAAGTACAATAATTAGGGTACATGTTAAGCTGTTATAACAAGGAGACAGACACAGTGGCTAAAAACAGCTTAAGATCGTCTTTTATTTCATGGTAAGGGTGGGATCGTTGGGATCATTCTACATCATTCAGGGACCCAGCTCCTCCTTTTTTGTCACTCTGCCGTTCCCTACTATTACCCTCGTCCACATGGTCCAAGCTAACCCGCACATCCTGTCTGTGTTGAGAAGAACAAGAAGGAAAGAGAGTAAAAGGCAAGTAGTTTCTTCATAAACCTGAAGCGGATGTCTCGTACATAACTTCTGAATGCCTCTCATTGGCCAAAGCTGAGTCTCATGGGCATGTCAGCTGTAAGGAAGGCTTTGAAGTTTAGTCTCTTGCCAGACCACGTGTTTCTAGCTAAAACTCAGATAGTTCTTTCAAGAAATGCAAAAACAGAAGGCTGGGAGTCAGTAAACGGCTGCTACCGTGCACCAAATCAGAGTTCAGAAACATTTAGAAAATTATAAAATTGGTCCGTGTTTTAAAATGGAAACCATTTAAGATTTATTAAAATATTTGAAGGGACACAGTGGGATAGTTGGAAGGTCAGAGACCTGAGTTTAGCACTGTCAGTAACTAGCTGAAACTCCTCTTACGTTCCAGATAGTTACAGTGGCGGGAATTTGAGACAATTCCAGGTAAAATGGGTAAAATGTCTTTTAATCTCATAATTAATATGTACAATTTCAGTCTTCTTGAACTTTTAAAACGTATATTCTGCCATTTTCAACAGTAATTAGTAACAGAAAATAATAGGAAGTTTGAATTCTAGTTAAAAACTGAAGTAAATACTGTATGTGATATAGAAAATAAACATTTGGCTACAGACGTTTTGAGATCTTTGTATTTCATACATTCATATTTCACGTTTCCATTGGTCTTCAAGCCTGTGTTATCTTTCTCCCCAGCCCAATACTGAGCTGCCAGCTAGGTTTTTTATAATATTGAAAGTAAAATTTAGTAGTTTCCTACAAATGGAAAAGATACACATTTGAAGTATATATATTCAGTTTTCATTTTAAAATATATGTATCCAACTTCCTCAAAATTGCGATGGTTAATATCAAGTTTTGTATCTTTAATATAGTCAGTTTTTTAGTTTAATTTACCGCTTTTACTGCTCTGGCCCTATAAAGCAGCTTTTGATTGTAGTTGACTATTAACTTTCTTTGTGGCATCAAACCAAAACATTTTCACATCCTCCTCCTAAAGAATTATCAGGTATTTACTTACATGCCAGATTAAATAATAGACTTAAAAACTGAAAACATTTAAATTTGCTTTTCTTAGGATATGTCAGCTCAAGGATCATCTTCACAGCTTCCTAAACCTTTTGATCCCGAGCCAGAAGCTAAATATGGCACACTGGATGTGACTTTTGACTATGACTCACAAGAACAGAGGCTTCTGGTGACAGTGACAGCTGTCACAGATATCCCAGCATATAACAGGACAGGTGGCAACTCATGGCAAGTACACCTTGTTCTTCTACCTATAAAGAAGCAGAGGGCAAAAACCAGCATCCAGAGAGGACCGTGCCCTGTCTTCACAGAAACATTCAAATTTAATCATGTTGAATCTGAGATGATTGGAAATTATGCAGTTCGGTTCAGACTGTACGGGGTACATCGCATGAAAAAAGAAAAGATTGTGGGGGAAAAGATTTTTTATTTGACAAAATTGAATCTTCAAGGGAAAATGTCATTACCTGTGATACTGGAACCTTCTTACAATCATTCTGTGAGTATCTGATCAAGTAACCCGAATACAGTTTATGTTTATTGTATCAAATATACACAATTTTAAAAACCTATGATCAATCCAACAACGTTTTCAGTCTATTTTTTACATAGTACTCATACCTTTACATGATTTCTAAGCCCTGGATAGTAGGTATAATTTTTCCATAGCTATAAAAGTTGCCTTTGAAGAATATATATGGTTTACTTTATGTATTTTATTTTATCCTTTATGGAGTCTAGCCCAGTGTCTAACACATTCATTCCTTCATTAAGCACTTTCTAGATAATTGATTATGATGTTATCTGAATGTCTGATAGAATTTATTGTTCTCTTTCCAGGTTAAAACTATGCCATATATTAACAACTATCTAGCCCCATATCTTTCTTATTTGATATACTACAGAAATTATTTGTTCTTATAGAATATGTACTGCTGCCTAGCTCAAGATTATCTTCCCAGAACTGCTATAGAATTGTTTTTAAAGGTTAAAAAAGGTTTAAAAAAAAATCTGGCCTCATTATACTTTCCACCCTTCTTTAAACAAAGATTTTTGCAGAAAAGCTGGGAGAATACTGAAATTTAGTCCTATGAGCTCTTCTCTCTTTTCTTTTCTCCTCCACATTCTGTCCACATACAATTCTCTCTCTCTTTCTCCTTATTTTTAGCTAAGTTCCCACAAGGCATTGCAAATCACGGGAACTGTACTGTTTATTTAAACCAAGGAAATACATTTGCCATATAGTTATTTAGATTATGAGAAAAATCTGTGATATGCTATAAATGTAGATTATGAATTATATTTATTCCTCTTGGTTATATTGAATATATATAAAAAGCATTTTTATAACAAATGTGAAAATTTTAGAATAGGTTTATATGTTAAAATAAAGGTATAATACCTCAGGGTTGTTTTTAAGCTTTTACATGCGTAAGTGTAAGTCCGAGGTTACAGTCTCACTGAGTTTACACTATTTCAGCATCCTTAAAAACCATAGGATGATAGTAAATATAGTATATCGCAATGGGTTTGTAGGATAATATTTAGCCTTTATTGGAAAAACTGACAACTTGTTATAATTTTAAATTTAAGAATTGCCTTTTAAAAAATAGTATCAGCTTATTAGAGGGGAAGAAAAAAGGAAGTGCAAGCAGTGTTTCAGAGGGGAAAACATTTTTTTTAGAAAATCAAATATTCTGCATTTCTTAATATGATTTTTAAACTTTCTTATTATTTGGTCTAAGTGACCACTAGTTAATCTGTGGATAATACATTCTTATTAGAAAGACCTGATTTAAATCTGCAGAGAATGACTATCACCAAGAGGTATGTGTTTTGTGTTTATTTACTTCAATTTATCTGTTCCCAATTCTGTATTAATTATGTTCATTTCACAAAGAAAATGGAGCCATAGCAACATGGTTTGTCTGTGATCATACTAATTTCTGTGCACACGTACATTACATGTATTTCAGCTTATGGTCATTGGTTCTGTATTTCTGGCACCCAGTACAGTAAATTTCTGACGGCTGTTCACATACAAAACAAGTGCTGGATTAATAGCTTCTAAGATATATATTTAAATCTGAGTAAAACTGTCCATCTTCTGCTCTTAGAAAGTTTTTTCTCTCCAAAGCCCACTTCACAAATTCAATGCCTGTGTTTCATTGTTCCTCTTTCTTATTTTGTTTCTTTCTCTACCTTCTCAAAATCTCACTGCCTGTTTTCGACTTCCATGTCAAAAACAACTCAATGCAGCACAATTATGTGGTTAAGACTCATAATTCTATCAATTATCATAAAACACTAATAGTGTATATTCTGTACAAGCTATAATGTTCATGTTCTCTTTGCTTGAGTTTTGATGTTACCTGTATGAAGAAATTATGTGATTATAGATTACTTAGATGATTTTAGCTCTAATTTTTTGAGATGTGATAATATATGAGAGAGAAGTACTCTCACAATTAACATGTATCCTTATAGCTTTTGGATAGCTATTGTTGTTTTGCAAAAATATTAGCCTTTTGACAAGGGAAAGTTTTAATCCGGTCCAAAAAATGTATGAACTATGATCAAAATATATTTGACAGTTTTATAGTTTACTTTCATGGGTAATAAGAAAAACAGAATTCAACATATAAAATTTAGTTTCATAGCTAGTTTTTCAGGAACTGATGAAATCAGTACATTGAGAGAAAAATGACCAGTATCACCAAAGTAACTTTTTGAGGACTAAACCTTCAGTTTTCCCTGGGGATAAGATTTAAGTTTAACATTAAGATTAGCATTAACATTTAATGCTAAGATAATGAGATAGTTTGATCATTGAATAATAGAAAATATACAAAGGGTTTAAAAGCATGAGTTCTTTCAGCTAACTAGTTGTGTAAGCTTGCATAAATTATCTAATCACTTTGGACATCAGGTTTCTCATTGGTAAAATGAGGGAACCAAACCAAATGATCTCTGAGGTCCTACCCATCTCTGATATTCTCTGACTGCTAATAGGTGAGACCAAAAATGGGTGATTTTTAGGTGGGTTTTTTATGCTTGATATATGACATTTTGTAGTGGACATTTATTATGTTTTTTCTCACTCCAGTAATCTGATTATTGAAAACCATTCATTGAATTTAGTATATACAGGTAGTGGGTAGCCTTAGAGGGACCAGTCTGGCAGGGTAGAGAGCCAGAATCTAAACTAGAGTGACACTAAAGTGCCAATCATGTGGACAACTTTTCCACCAGGTTTGGCTGTGAAAATAGGAAGAGGGAGGGAACAGTATTTGGAACGTGGTGGTTCAAGTATGATGTTTTTGAGGATAGGGGAGACTTGGGCATGCTTAAATACTAATGAAAATGATATAATGGAAGATGAAGGTAAGATATAGAAGAGCTGATTAAAGATCGATATTAAATTGCTGGGCCTGGGATGAACAGAGAGGAAAAATGGTTGAGAGTATTTTCAAGACATTTATTTAAATTGTGGGCCATGAAATCTAAGTGGAGTAAAGACAGAAGTGAAGCTAGATAGGGGCTGATAGGCGGGAGGAGTAGAAAGGTTAGTGGACCGAAAGTCCCAAGGGTATCAAGGAACAGACGGGAGAAGAGTAGTTGAGCAAGAAGTTTGAAAAAATAGAGGACTGTGGTTAGGGAGGAGAATGATCCAGATAATGTGATGTGATGACAGGGGTCCAGAGAGTCCTGGTAGGAGTGGGCATCTGAGATGGGATAAAAGGCAAAAATCACTGGAGATGGGTAAGTAGGTCAGGAGAGGCGCAGTTCTTGAATGGGTTATCCACATGGACAGATGGCTGAAGTCACAAAAAATGGTGGGAGAAGTTGAAGTGTAAAAGAAGATTGAGTTAAGGGTTCACAAGGAATGAAGAAGAAAGGTCCACGACAGAATATCCAGAGGACAAGATGACAAGAACCTTAAAGGAAAATAATTATTCTTTTCCACAATGTTAGGGGAGCAATGTTTGAGAAAGCAGCAGAGAACTTTGCCACCTGACCCTGACGTACTTTGGGTATGAGGGAATAACGGGGGTGAAAAGTCTGCAGGGGATGATGTGTCCTCGGAAAAACTGGGTTTTGGTTAAGTAAGGTGTTAGGGGTTCAGAGAAGAAACTGAAGTTCTGGATGGGGTTATCATGAATCAGGGGTACCAGAAGGCGTATTAGTGAAGAAGTACAGAGAAGATCATAATGAATGTCAAAGTAAAAGAGATGGCCAATATCATCTGGGATTCGCCTTAATTTATATTACACCAAAATCTGGTCCCCATCATAATTTGAGTCTAAATCTCAGATTTCATTTAAAGACTAATTTAAATCCCATCTTTATGGAAATTAGCCTTAATTTATATTACACCAAAATCTGGTCCCCATCATAATTTGAGTCTAAATCTCAGATTTCATTTAAAGACTAATTTAAATCCCATCTTTATGGAAATTCGTTAGATTATGTCTAATATAATTGGTTAATCTTACGTTTGTATACCAAATATCTAGTACTGGTTATTGCTGTATAAATGTTGAATGGATGGTTGGTAAATAGGTACATATGGTACATGTTATTTCTTAGTTATTGCCTCTGGTGCTCATTTATGCAGCGAGTCATGTCTTCTTGATAGCGAACTTGTTCTGTGTCTTCTTTCTACATTTAAACACTTCAGGATAGAGTCTGTATGTTTTACTTATACGTATTTTTCATAGAACCTAGAATATAAGTGTTCAGTGAAAACTTGTTAAACTGATTCATCAACATTTTCAGATGAATGTGACCATTTTTAAATTCTTACTAAGTTCCATATAACATTGTTCCCAGATAGGTATCAGTATCCTTAAAACAGCCCTATTAGGAATCTTTTATGACCTGGAATCCAATAAGCATGTATCTTAGGGTAATTAAATAGGAATGTATCAGTAATTATTTTTAAATAATAATTGTCTAATTAGGGGCATATATGCATATATAATTTCTCATTCAAGAGTGTAAGGCCACAGTCTCCTAAGAGTGATCAACCTTCCTCATGATTTAGTGCAGTAATGATTTTAGATACTTGTAGTTTCAACCTTTAATTTCTGAAATCCCTGTCTCAAAAATCACCTGTCTTTACATTAATGAATTGAATTAGTTTAGTTTGATATTTGTGTTGCTTTTATTTATAAGAAGGGTAACATTGCTTATACTCTATAACTGAAATGTGTGTCCCTCTAAAAATCGTACTTTACATTATTAACAAGCATCTTTTACAATGTCACCTATTTTCCTGTTCACTACAGTTTGCACACTACTGTTCTCAAAAAAAACCCTACATTTCCTAAATGTAGATTATCCTTCATTATAAAGCAATTTAAAATAAATACTTCTTTATTAACTAATGATCACAGTCAAAAATTACTACATGAAAGAGAAAGCTTTATCTATACAATTCAGTTCCCTAGACAGTAACATTAATGTGAGTCATGGCTCACTTTAGTATAAAACTGA